CTGTGGTAGCGAGAGCACACAGGGGGGCAATGGAACCAGCCTAACTACTGGAAACCCAGCTCTATGCATGGGCTCAACAGAGAAAGAAATGTAATTTTTAGTCAACTAAATGGACAAATAGTTTAACATCCACTAGCCTGTTTAGAAAGAATACTACTTGAGAAGGGGAAAAATTACATGTGACAACCATAGTATGATAATGGATTAAGTATATTCATAAAGGTGATCACCTATTGATTATAATATAGTAGCAATTTCTAAGGAATTGACAGTACTAAAAGTCTGGAAAAACATGAAAAGGAAAATGGATGGAGCTCAATTATTAGTTGGAATGTTCTAAAACTCTTATTTGGAAAGACAAATACATGATATAATATCATGTTATAAAATTGTGTAATTAAGAAAATATGTTAATATTTATAGTGAACCAACAAATTAAATAGAAATACTATACATGGCTTCCAAAATTTTATTGAAGGAGGCAAGGAGAGAATAGTGAAAAATGTATCAAGACAACATACAGACCATAAAGAAAACAGAATGCAAATATAAGTAATGTAAACTCTTCTGTTATAGAGAATATAAAGTGAACAAAAATTATATATATATCATGGCCCAATTGTATAATTTATGCACATGCAATAACACACCAGACAGAAACATACAAAAATATAAATATTATTTACCATTAGACTGTAGGAGTAAAGATAAATATATTTTCTTCTTTATATTTTTCAGTGTTGCCTAAAGTTCCCATCATAAACTAATGCAAATTTTAAAATCATATTAAAATTTTATTTTTAAGTGGTTATAACTCAATAGTAAAGAATGTGATTACTATATGCAAGGCCCTGGGTTTAATCCCTAGGACTCACATAAACAGCTTTCTAAATACTTATTTTTTTCTTCTCTCAAAAATAAGGAAGAAAAGAAAATATTAGCATTTTGCCATTTAAAATGCAATATCTACAAACTAACAATTTTAATAATACAAGTATGTTTAAAGACTGTTTTTCCCTGTATGCCTGTGGACACAGACATTGTTTCAATCTGATGATTCAGTTAATGAATTTTAAACAATTTTTCAAGTTAGGTAATAGGGGCAGGATGGTAGGGAGAGGGAGAATAAGATGAAAAGAGGGGAATAAAAAGACCTAGGGATGTAGCACAGGGATAGATAGCCCCTGGGTTTAATCCCCAGAAAACACACACACACACACACACACACACACACATACACACACACTAAATTAAATTTAAAAAGAGGATAATTTATAAAGCATTTATTTCAAGAAGGGGGAGCAGGTCCAGGAGATAGGGGGGAGGAGGGAGGGAAGGAGGGAAAGAGGGAAGAGGAGAGAGGGAGGGAGAGAGGGAGGGAGGGAGGGAGGGAGGGAGGGGGAGAGAAGGGGAAAGAGAGAGAGAGAGAGAGAGAGACAGACAGACAGACAGACAGACAATATGCATAAAAACATTCTTGCAGCAAAACATTAACTGGTAACTTAATTACTCAATGCTATGTGCATGTTGAGTTGGTTTAAGTCACTACAATTCTTAACCCCCAAAGGCACTGCAACAGAAGCCATCATTTGGCCTGACTATATCAAAAAAAGCTGCTGATAGCCAGAAGAGATCAAAAGCAGATCAGATTGCTTTACAAGCTACATGTCACTGAGTTCAAAAAGCCAGGAAGCACCCTGAGGAGCTATGGAAATCTTAGAAATAAGTGGATGTTTCATAAAATGCCAGAATGAGATTCAGTTGTCTTATTAAAATATCTAAGCTACAGCATATTGTTTCTAAGTTTTTCCTGAGAAATACAAATCAAGTCTCTAAACAGAAACAGAATGATAGTGCCAGTAGATGAGTGACTTCACTAATCACATCTTAGGTCTTTTTATTTCATTTTTTTTATTTAGAGGCAGGGTCATGTTAAGCTGCCCAGGCTGACCTTGAACTTGTGATCCTCCTGCCTCAGCCTACTGAGTTGCTGTAAACCACTGTGCTCAGCCATTACCCCATTTTCTAAACCTACTTAAAAACAAATTGCCTCTAAAAATATGGTCAGGTTGTTTAAGTATTCTTAAATAAATTCTAATCACTTTTGATAGGCTACATTGGTCAAATGATGTGAATGGCTTTATTCCTGATAAATCCTAATTTCCCAGAAATTAGATTTAAATTTTCTCTCACAAGATTTCCTTTTTCACAAGATGTTTCATCTTCAAACATCTTATTTTCTATTAAAAGACCTGAATTTTTGAAAATCAAAACATGAAGTAAATTATGATTTTTGTCATTTTTAATTCTCAGAGTTTGACAGCCTGGTAAATAGCTCTCCAAGCTGATCTCATTTTACAAGAACAGTAATATATGATTCCATTACTTCACAAACTAAAGTTTCATTTCCCCTCCTCCACTGCAAGCTCTTCAGAGGCAAGTGCATGCTTCTGTTATTAACACAGAACTAGGACTGCATTTCTCAAAATGTGTTAAAATGTGTTCTACCAACCGCGCAGAACCTATCACACATTCTGTGAAAAAAGTGCTCTGTGGTCAAATAAATTGGAGAACTACTGCAAACCCTTCTTTTGGAGAGTACTGTGGATTCCTTTCAAATTTAACATAATCCAGCAGTTTTTGGAGTCATTTGGTCATGAACTTTCCCACTTCTGTGGCATCAGACTTCTACAACCCATAGACAAGTGGGAGAGATACTGAGCTACCAAATGTTATAGTTGGTAATGGAGTGTATGGGAGTTTCAATTTCCTCATTTCTCTACATAAAGTATAAACCCTCATGGTTAAAATCATCTCCTTAACCTTCTGAGGCAATTAAAAATTGCTAAGATGCTCCTTCAGTATTTTGTCTTTTGTAGCTACCACATTGTTCAAGAAAGCACAAAAGGAAATGGTATTCAGTGGCACTGGGCTGCTCATCTTTCTGAAGTCAATCATCTAGGGTTATTAGCACTTTCAGGTTAGCTCCAGGTCTCATGAGAATTTGCCATGTTCATGATTACAGGTGTATTTAATACCTGTACAAAGAAGGCATGTAGATACTAATAGAAAATGGGGTATTCCAAAGGGAGGTACCAACCGAAGCAACTATACAACCCCTGGGAATAAATAAAGTCATTATTCCTCTCATCCATCAAATTACTGCAAAAGTTACATCCTATCTTGCAAGACTGACTTGTTGATCAGAGTATGAAGTATTTTCTATATCCCCAGAAACACCCTATCACCACATCAGTGGTGTGTGTGTGTGTGTGTAAAATTTCATAAGTAAGTCTATCTAATATCCATCATACTTTTGAAGCATGATAAATTGGATAAATTCTATAGAAAGAAAGGTTTTGTTTTCTATCAGTTTAAGAATTTACTCTTTTGGGGGTGGGAGGTACTAGGGATTGAACCCAAGGATACTTTAACACTAAGCTACATCTATTCCCTTATGTCTTTTAAATTTTGACACAGGGTCTCACTAAATTGCTTTAGAGCCTCTCTAAATTATTGAGACTTGCTTGGAAACTGTTGTACTTCTGCTTCAGCCTCCTAAATCATTGAGATTATAGGCCTGTGCCACCACTACTGGCTTAAGAAGTTACAGTGCCATAATACTATACAAGTGTAACAAATTTTAAAATTGTTGTTATTATTATAAAAATAAAGGAAGTTAAGGTAATCTTTCTTGGCTTCAATTGATGTGTACCTATATGACAGGCTGAAGAAGGCTATGGAAGTGACAGAATTTCGGCCCTGTTCAACAACGATTGAGTCTTTGTGGACCCATAGCACTCAGCAATTGCCCAGTGTGAATTATTTTGCATACATAAGAACTATAAGCAAAATATATTAATTTGTTAAGATAACTGAAATTTTTATAAAAATATCTGTGTCTAGAACATGATTACAGATGGGTTTCTAAAAAAAAAAAATGCAATTGAGTCTCTTCAAAATTTATGTGTTTATTTTTGGCTCTGGACAGGGATTACCAGGCCTCTTATTTGCATCTTGTAATACAATATCAAATGAAAATCTCACATATATTTATTCACCCCCTTTCTATATTTAATAGCTATAAATGGCTTAAATAGATAACTGGGGCATTTTCAACGCTATAACAAGAGTAACCTCATGAAAAACAGAAAAAAAAGGGATCATATTCAGAAAAAAAATTTTACAAACTAATTGCTTCAGTGTAAATATTACTTAAATTTAGAAATTTGAGGAATTTTAGACTATCCCTCTTCAAAATGACTTAGGTTGAAATTGTACTGCCTCATATCCACACTGTTAAATGGGCAGAAACACAAACAACTATGAAAAAAACAAGAAAACAAAATGCCCCAAACAAACCAAGATGCTCCAATAGTAGAACACATTGAAAACATAGTAGAAGAAATATCCGAGGAGTGTAGAATGTACATAGTTAGACTGATCCACAATATAAAGGATGAGGTAAGGAGTGAAATCAGGGATATGTTTCAAGAGGTGAAAGATCATTTCAATGAGATTCTGAAAAAGCTGAAATCATTCTTGATTGAAAATAAAATAGTATGCCCCTGTGTTTTGTGACTATATATATATAATAAGATACTCTGTTTCCAGGAAAGTTCACAAACCACAAAACCTTAGGCAAGTATACTAAGGAAGTGTGAGTAGGGACCATTTATCTTTTAACAATGATATAATCTGTGTCCAACCATGACATGAATACCATGCAGCAAATGCTCTTGGCTATAAAATGAGATGCAAACCTGATYCTGATTGTTATTCAAATAACCAAGATACTACTAAATATCTAAATTTCCAACTCAACTTTCTAAACAAACAAAAAAAAATTGACAAAATTTTTCTATTGCCACATACCCCTAAAATTATGTTCTACAAGGCTACAAAAGATTAATTTACTTTCCTGAAAACCATTGAGAACACTACCTTTCTCATTAAAAAAAAGCATAAATAAAACATATAAGTTCAAAATTATAAGTTACCTTTTAAGTCTTTCTTCAGTTTTCTGAGATCTTTTTGAAAATCTTCAAACTTCATCTGTGAGGCCTGAAAAAGGTCCTGTGGTTCTGGCAGTGGAAAGACACATTGTTCTTTTCCGGCATCCTAAAGTGCAAACATTACTTTTAAACAAATCAGCATTGATAGAAATGAAAATTATACAACAGCAGCAAAGGTAAAAACAAAAGCAAAACAACAAAAAACACTGCCAAATCACCTAAAGAAAGAACAACAAAATAATATATGTAAAAATGATCTTACCTCATCAAAATTTCGAAGATAATATGAAACAATATATGACAGAAGGCTTCTGCTATTGTCCTAGGCAGAAAGATCAAAGTAAGTAACAATATATTTTATAAATTATTAAATACATAGTATTAAATAAAACAAACTGCAGTGGACCCACAAAAGTACATGACAAGATTAAAATTTTACATTTTTAATTGCCACACTAATTGTATCTAAAGAGTTATGCCTCAAGTGGAAGCAGAGCTGTTAAAGGGCAGTCATAACTATAAATACTTTCCTATTTTTACCCTCATCAATCATAAATTTAGTTCAATTTTTATGTTATTTATTTAATAATCTTATTATGAAGTTTTGTTCATTATTTTTATGTTTTACAATTACTACCATAAATGAAATGATTAAATATTGCTAGCTTTTCTATCTAGTTGGACTGGCAGATACTACTCCAACTCTAAGTGTGACCTGGAAATAGAAAAGTATCATTTCAGAAAAATGGGAGTTTTTAAAATGTGAACACATAATTTGTTATATCAGCAACTGAGATTGAGGGATTAATACTCATGCAGCTTTAAATAATATAATGTGTGTAGTACTATATTTTTAAAAACTGTAAAATTTCTTCCCATCTAACAGTATGGAAAAACAGCTTTTCACTTCCTTTCTAGCACATTAAGAGGTATTAAATTTTAATTAACTTTTTGGTTTGCTCCAAGTTAGCAGATAATTTGAGTCTGAGAGACCAGATATGTGTGTATGTGTATGTATTTATGAATATGTGTGTATATGCACATATTTTTAAAATGAAAACCTATGATACAAACTAATTTATATGAAATGTTCAACCTGTTAAACTGAAATAAGTTTGGCCTAATTTGTCTCCATACTTGAGTGACAAAGTTGGACCCACAGTGGCCTCGCTACATAATGAACTGAAGCTTAGTTTGATGTATACACAAATTTTCACCTAACCTGAATAAATACCCTTATAATCAAGCAACCGAGTCTCAATGATAGCTGAACTTTTATTCAATCACAGGCTGAAAGCTGCCCAAATAAGGCCATATAATGCAAATGCCAACTGTTGTCAATCAGGTTGTTTCTGTATGTCACTTACTTTTCAGTGATTATAAACATAACCTGCACATGTGGAGGTCTGGTGCCTCCTGTACCATCTTTGGTCTGGAATGCTGCCTTGTTCTAGAACTTTTACTTCTCAAGTAAACTTTGTACAGTTTAATTGGATAGTTTTTCTGTTAACAGATAAAGCTGATTTTTCCTCTGTTTATAAAAAGAGCAACCCTTCTTCATAATTGAGTTTGACATGAGATAGTAATATATCTATTAAAGGCTTCCGTAATTAAGATTTGCTTGTAAAATGATTTAAGCCACCTTTCTTCTAACTTGTAAATCAATTGAACAGCAGCTCATGCATCCATTACTGAAACATTTGTTAAAAGCCTGCTGGTAGGCATACCGAGGGAAAATTCTGAGTGATCTAAGTAATAGTTCTGTCCATGGTTACTGAGGAGTAGTTACAGTTATATTCATTTTAAAGAGAAAGACCAATTCAGGAAGACTTTGCATAGCTTTTCGGAGGGCATGTGAAATTATTTAATAGTATTTGCTTCTTGATTCAGTATTTTAGTTTTATCCTAGACTATTCCATAATTATTTAAATTAATACAATTTAACTTAAGAATTGAAACAAAGATGTAAACAAATACAAAAAACCATAAATAATCACAGTTCACCTATAATTAGGATTACCACAGTGTATTTCGGATCCATTTTGATAAACTGAATGTTGTTGATGTATTTATATTTCAATGTTATTTGAGAAAGTTGTTTCAATTTAATAAGCAGTTACTAAGAAATATTTGAAAACATGTTTAGGAAACTGATTTTTTTAAATAAATGTGATTTATTAAGTCTATACATTTCTATAAAATGTTTCTCATATATATATAATAGCATTTGAAATACATATGGTTATTTCAATAACCACAAAAATCACAAAAATTATGCCAAGAAAGAACTATGTGCTATTTAATTTTGGGAAAGTATACTGTCTGGCATTTCATAGACACTCAATGAAAGATGGTGGATAAATATATACATATATATATTTGTGAATGAACGAATAAACAAAATTTTGATGAAAGAGACCAAAAATGTCTCTTTCTTATGAGAAAGATAACTGCATTATCCAAGAAGGACAATCCATACATTTTCAGATCTAGAAGCCAATTGTTTACTTAAACTCAGTATTTTAGAAATGTGTTCATAATTTCCTTCATCATAATGTTCTGTGTAGTGATTCTTTTATCAGAGAAACATAACTCTTTATTTTCTAAGTTTACCAAATCAGACTTTAGTCTGTGACGCTGACCATCATCCCTAACCTTATATTTCCACTGGCACTCTTACAATCTCTTAGATATTAATTTTAAACAAACATCTATAGAAATGTATTAAAAAAACTAGATTTGCAAAAGGACTTAGACATTCCCATGCACATGAGTATGAGGAAGAAAATAATATGTAGAAAAGCAGGATCATCTTTTATATTTTATCTATAAATTGCTTCCTTCATCTTTGTTTTGCTTTCAAAATATGTTAGCTGTTGACCTCTTTTGCCTTATATGGAGAAGAATAAAATAACAAGTAGACATCTAATTCATTCAAAATGATTAGTCCTTGTATTCCCAAAAGATAAATACTAGCAGACTTGGTAATGATAGACTGAAAATAATAATTACTTTTATTTAAAATATTATAGGTATCCATTAGACATAGAAGTCAAAATTATTCACTTCGGGGGACATCATTATTCATGTAAATTGCAAATATCCTGTGGTTTACTTTTATCTAGCTCAGAATATAAAGGAACATTTGATCTTGGAATATAAAGAAATATTTGTTACAACTGATTTACAGTCAAACCTATTACCAAACAAAATGTCAAACAGAATATCCTCAATTTGCCTACATCCATTAATACAAAATACTTACACTGCTTTTGACATCTTTCAGCTTTGGGAGAATGTCTAATCCAAAGCCATCTGCCTGTCCCCGAGTTTTATTTCCACCATTCATGTAGTTGCCAAAGGCAAGAACCAAACCTAGAACCTGCATAACCCCTGGGCCATTTTTTAATGTCTGTAAAACAGGATAAAGAACAAAGTTTTTCTTAAACGAAGTTTTACTTGAAACACCAGAAATCAATGCTAACTATTAACATTATAGTAATAGTTTTGGGTCACAACCAAACTTTGTCCTTCTTCATTACTATGCATATTTTAAGAGCAGTTTCTCTGAAGTTAACTTTAAAAAGTTAAAATGCTTGTGCCCACAAGCATTCAGATAAGCTTTTGTAAGTTGAGAAATGCCAATCTAGGCCTTTTCTGTGATKTAATTGCAAGGAAAACATATATGGCTGTAACGTGAACTACTACAAAATATCATCATCATCACCCTAATCGTATCTATGTCTAAAACGATATTATATTTTTGGCATAAATTGTGGAAAACCAAAAAGGAAAATTATAAAGATTCATTTCCAAATGAGTATACACTCACTTCTTTTGGAACATACTTTAATTTTTCATGTCATTTCCTCTGAAAATGTCTTTAATAACGTCTCTTCACTTTTCAAAAGCATTTACCACAACTAGAACAAAATAGTAATATTGATTTTTGAAAATAAAAAAAAAAGTTAATATTGGTTATTTCTGCCAAATATTTATTCTTAATTTTCAAAGAAATTTTTATCTTCTGTTGAATCAAATGGCTGCTCTAAATCTTTTGGTTASAATATTTATGAATAATTTGTTGAGGGGCCATTCAAAAAACATTGAAGGGAAGGAAATATTATGCCTTTAAGTCACAGTCACTTGGAAGTCTGCTATCTAGAGGGACCATAAGAAGTGAAAATTCAGTTTTGGCAAAAGCAGACGTAYGAAAGCTCTCCAGTGGCCAGCACACACTGGCCACACTCCCGCAACATGGTCCTGCAGCCCTGTTTGCCAATCTGACCATGTGCTTTGATCTTGAAGCTCAATCATAAATGTTCCCGTCTGTGGGATTGCTATCCCTCCAATTTAATGAGGACTTAGAGTAAATAAAACTTTTTTTGTAATATGAACATGACTGAACAGAATTAAATATCAGGACTCAAGCTTAGTTCTCTTTGGACCAGAACCTACCTCACATAATTTCTGTAGCAATTCTAGTTTTCGACGAATTGAGCAAATGCTTTCTGAAAACGTTGACTGGAACAGGATGCAAAAGACTCGCTCTGAAAAGTTGGGGATTAGTGACAGTTCATAAAGGAACCTAAGGAAATAAAGCCAAGTTAAGAGGAAAAATATAATTCATATAAACAGATGTTTATCCTCATCTCATCCAATTACATACTCAAGACATTGTTTTTCCAAATGGCAAGAACCCACTGTGGCCTTGATGCCCTCTGTAGGGCCCAAAGGCATGCTTACTGTTCAGGTTTGTCCAGAGACTTGGCATTTTCCTTGTCTTTGGAGGATCGGCCGTGCTTTTCAATTTTTTCCAGTTCATCTGACTGAGCTCTCTGGAAAAACAAAAGCCCAGCAGTTTCTTAAAATCTGGTCAATTGTATCCCTTAGGTAATGATGATCTTAATAGAGCAAAATGCTCCATATTTTCATATTTCTTAGCATATGTTTGTAGTAAAACTTGACTTAATTCACAAGGCATTTTAAAGTGTAAATATGTTTAATACAAACCAGATCATCCCCCAAACTCCCAAATAATGTTATTGACTATTAGTGATCTGCAAAACATTTATTCATTCAAGCATACTTTAAAACAATAGTTTTCCTTTCTTGTTATTGTGGCTGTTTATAATGCTCTCTAGAAAGCACAAGAATGTCATTTTAAAAATCATATTTCTTATTCAGAAATCAATTAAATTAAGTTTGGAAGCAATTTGATCCTTAAGTTTTTATAACTTATTTAWCCTATTGCAATCATTGTGTACTCCTTTTTGTATTTTGGGGAAAGAAAAGTACTATTAAATTATTAAGACATGTAACAAAAATAAATGGTTTTGATCCCTTTGCTGAACTTGCTTTCTGAAACAAAAAATAGTTCCAGGCTAATTTTCTTCCTAAGTGTCTTCTTTCACCTTCTATAATGGCAAACTAAAAATTTGGTTTTTTAATGAAGGAGGATCATCTGCATTTCAACTGTAAGATAGAAGACTTTATAGTATATTAAGAAGCAATATCTATTTTCTTTTACAGAGCATTTGAATTATTTTTATTTGTATTCTTGTCTTTATTGTACAATTCACAAAGATGTTTCAAGAGTTCAAATAATACATTTTCTAAATGCATTAAGGAGTAATCGAATATTACCACATTCTGAGTTTTAATCCAGTTCTCAGAACTTAATATTCCTTATAATTTTTTTTTTAAACAGAAGAGCAACTCAGACAAGAACTGCTGTCGAAGATGAAGTCGCATCATCAAAACAAAGCTGCATTYTGCTCTGCATTTACTAATCATATTGAAATGTAGGTTTGCAGTTGGTAGGATTAATGAAGACTTGTTAACTCAAAAGAAGTTTCTTATAACTGAGGACATATGGGCCAGAGAAAAGTTGGTTTTCTGACAATGTGATACATTTTGCTTTGGAATGTGATACAGCAAAAGGATACAAAGATGAAGGTGAATTGTAATGTAAATGTCCYAGACTACTCCAAAACCTAAGAATCACTTTTTTTTTTTTTTCAGAATTTCAGTTGCAAAGTAATGTAATGTTACTTTGCCCCCATTTACTGGGAGTAATATTGCCTGATTTACTTCTTGGTTTCCTGGAGTCAGTCTCACAGACACCATGAGGATGTCACTTAAAGTCACATTACAAAATGATCTTTTGAAAATGACAATATCCATCTTACTAGCAAACTAAAGAACAGGGTAAAATTATAAAAGGACATTAAAGCTAAGAATACTGACAAGGYAAGAGTTACCACAGGATTCACAAGTCCACACCTGAATAGGGTGCAGAAAGATTTACAATTTAAATAACTCCTTTAAAAGAAATGGGAGTTTTTAATCAAAGCAGTTGTTCCCTTGCTTTTTCCAAGCCCAACCTCATTCTATACCTAAAATCTCATCTAACATGATACAATCTGGTGAAATACTTATATTTTTTTTATTTGATTTTGTTTCTTGAACTTGACATGGACCTAACCTAGCTATGTGCTGGTACATGGAGCTGAATGACTAGAAATCCACTCCACAGGTCTAGCAACTTTCCCTGTATCCAACCAACAAAAACCTTAAGGACAGCTACCAGAGAGAAAAGATGGCCAAGGTAAATCAGAATAATTGAAGTTATAAAGGAAAAAATAAAATTCCTCAATGCATTCCCAGCAAAGTGACTTTCTATTAGTATTATATTCACATCCCAAACTATTGAGCAGGTATGAATTACTAGTTGCACAGCCATTTATACCTTGCACTTTACAAAGAAATAGACCTTTTCCAAACTATAACAAAACAGACCATTTTTGCTCACTTCAGAAAGAAACAAAGCTGCTCTGGACTGTCAGTATTTTGTATGGCTACAGAGGGAACATTTATCCATGTCCCATAACCTTTTTTCTTCTCAACAACTGTATAAACATGATGCAGTACCTTCTATTTGCTTTCCTTTCTGGAGCTTAGATAAGGTAATCAACCAATATCTATCTATCTCTCTGTCTCTCTCTCTCTCTCTGTCTCTCTCTCTCTCTCTCTCTCTCTCTCTCTCTCTCTCTCTCACACACACACACACACACACACAGAGTAAATTCTCTTTCATGGTACTAACACTTATATTAGTCCATTTTCACTGCTATAATGAAATATCTAAAGAAGGCTAACTTTATAAAGAAAAGAGGTTTATTTAGATCACAGTTTTAAAATCTGAAAGTCCAAACAGCATGGCACAGGCTTTGAAGAGGGCCCCACAGTAAATGGGGAATGTATATGTGAGAGTGAGAGATCACATCTCTAAATAAAAGGAAAAAAGTGGTTTGGGAGTCCACCTCATTCTTATAAATTGCTCCCCTTAAGAGAGCTCAAGGGTCCCATGAGAGTCAAGGATTTCTAGGAGAGCTATTCCAATTCTTTCTGAGGACAGTGCCCTCAAGGATCTAAGGTCCTCTCACCAGGCTCCACCTCTTAAAACTTCTATCACCTCCCACACCACCACAAGCTTCCAACACATGAAGCTCTGGGAAACACACTCCAACCACGTCCAAACCATGACAATGATGGATGAGCAAACATTGAACCAGGACTCCTGGAGGAAACCCAGGGTTCCGGTGAGCCTCGTTTTCATCAACTGATCGAATGAATGTAACCTTCTGTAGGTTCAAAGAAGCTTTTTGAAATATATAATATTGATTCATTAATGCTGAACATAACAGCCAACAGTACCATAATTCATGCCTGAACAAATTTGTTTAACTTACAGAATTTTCCYCTAAGGCACATCACAGCATTCTTATCTTAAGAGCACTAGACAGCTCTTCAACACTATTTTTAGGAGCCATTTTAGCCAGCAAAATCACTAACCAAAAGCACAAAAATGCAAAAAACGTGGCACTAAATAGATTACAGAAAGAATATTTGTTTACTCTATGAGAGCTGAAACAAGAAGGCAGAATGTTGCCTTGTTCAACCTCAGCTGAGAACATGCACTTTAGGAGACTCAAATGCTTCAGGGCATGTCCTCAAATAACCATAAAACCTCCGGGGATATTGATTTTAAGGTTATAAATATATTTTCTATTTGGTTCTGGAATTGAACCCAGGGGCAGTTTATCCAATGGGCTACATCTCTAGCCCATTTTTATCTTTTATTTATAGACAAGTTCTTGATAGGTTGCCTTGGACTTCACTACATTGCTGAGGCTGGCCTCAAACTTGTGGCCCTCCTKCCTGAGCCTCCTGAGTTGCCGAAATTATAGGCGTGCACCACTGTACCTGGCTTACAAACATATTTTAGTGAGTAGATGAATTTATCAATATGAAATCCACAAATAATGAGGATCAAGTCTGYATGAATCATCACTTCACAAACACACACCCATGAGAAGAGAGTGAGCATCATTGGATTATTATACATACCCTGGACTTTCTTCAACAAATTACTTAAGGAAAATGTATTTCTCTTCATATTACAACCATGGAAATGATTGATATGCAGAAAGATGGTGGTAGCACACCTGAATGCACACATTTGGAAATATTAATCATCTTAAAGATGATTAAAGCTTGGTATATCTCAGAAGTGACCTTGGCATATCTCAGAAGTCCCCTTGTAGCCTGTATACCCCTACTATGGCTTGAATGTATTTCTAGAACAGTTTATGTGTTGGAAAATTTATCCTCAAATTCTTGTTTATGGAATTTGGAGGCAGAACCATTGGGAGGAAATTAGAATTAGATTAGGTCATAGGGTGGGACCTCCAATAATGATTTTAGTGGCTTGTTTGCTTTATGTATGTATGTATTGGGAACTGAACCCAAGTGCACTTTACCACTGAGCTATACCCCCAGCCATTTTTAGTTTTTATTTTGAGCCAGGGTCTGGCTAAGTCATTTAGTGCCTCATTAAATTGCTGAGCCTGGCCTTGAATTAGTGATTCTCCTGCTGCCTCAGCCTCCTGAGCCAGTGGGATTACATGGATTAGAGGCTTTACAAGAAGAAAAAGGCCTAAGTTAGCTTGCTTGCTGTCTCACCATGTGTTGTTGCCCTCTGCCATATTATGATGTGGCATGATGCTGGTGCCATGCTCTTAGACTTCTCAGCTTCTAGAACTGTGAGAAATAATTTGTCTTCATAAATTACCTAGTTCTCAGATGTTTTGTTATAGCCACTGAAAATGGGCTAMGGAACATTCAAACAAAGTTCAGACATACAATGAATATTCATTGTTTAAATGAAGACTGGTCCATAGTGGAAGAATGGTGTATCTGTAATTTTGTTGACTATATTTTTGATGCAAGGTTTAAAATAGCTATTTGTGAAGAACCAAACTACTACTCACAGTATAGTATGTTGCATTTTTTTTAAAGAATCATAATTGTCAAGTGCCTCATTCAAAAYGACTCCCTCTTTTATTTCTCAGAAAATGTTTTAGAAAGGAACGTCACCACAATATCATAGGAGTCAACATCAGAAAGATGATCCAGCTGATATGTCATGGTGGGGATATATATTAGGTAATAGGAACATGASACAGGCTTCAAGTTTGGACCTTCAACAAATTACTATTGCTCTCCTGCTATCTCATCCTACTATTATGGTGTGGAAGAAAACAAAAGCTAGAAAATTCCAGCTCCTGCATTCAGGAAGTTCATACAGGAGGCAGACAAATGAATACATGTCATAAAATAGTGTGATGGACAATAACTAAATTGTAGAACCAACCTAGATGCCCTTCAGATGAATGGATAAAGAAACTGTGGCATATATACACAATGGGATATTACTCAGCATTAAAAGAGAATAAAATCATGGCATTTGCACATAAATGGATGGAGATGGAGA